ATCACGTTCTGTAAATATATCGGTGATGTTGTTACACTTTTGTTTATTTAATTCCGATATTATGATTGGCTAAATAATTTTAGCGATAGGATTATGATGAAACTTATAGTATGAATCTTATTTATTTTGACATTCAAAGTATGTTTTTAATTATGAATGATTTATATGGATTTAATTTTCTCTACAATTATATGTGAAATGATTGTATGAGTTTTGTGGCTCATTTTACCTTAAAAAGATTAAAAAATAAATTTAGACATGTTGTCAATTATCGAAGAGTCTCATAGTGGATAAAATATACTGTTATATTTTATGTAATCTTTAAGTATTTATAAAGTTTTAATACATTTCATATCTTCCCATCTGTCATAGAAAAATAGTCGGGTCACATGTAAGAATATGTTTAATTCTACTCAAGAGAAATTGCTAAACAAATTAGAAATATTGGTCTTCATAATTAAATTGTGTTTTGAAATTCATAAGTTTTGGAGTTATAGAAGATTGGTATAAGAGGATTCAGGATCCTAGTACGCTTTTCATCATTATATCTTTTTTATAAAACTTGTGTTTAATTATAGTCTTGCATTAATTTTAGTTAATCTATGTCTTGCATTCATAATTAGATTATTTAATTTATAGGAAAAATTACAAATTTCAATTGTTTTGGCTAAGACCAAGTTGGTTCAAACTTTAACTAATACAATATCTGTGGGTACGATACTTGAACTCAAAATTTATTTTACTACTTGTCAACGAACAATGAACTTGTGGTATTTTAAACGAATAATATTTTCCCGAATAGGTTTTTTTGACCCAAAATAGGTTGAATTTTTTAGAAACCATATTTCCTTCTTTCCATGTGTTTTTATTACGAAAATATTGTTTCTTTTATTACACATGATCTTTGATCTTATTTCCCTTTTTGCGATATTTTTAGGGTTTGGCATGCACCCTATAAATACTAGAATCTTTTCACAAGTTTTATATTACTGAAATATAGAATAATTATGTTAGCATGATTATTATATTCATTTTTTTACATATTAGTTAATTGAATAAAATACGCTGTTCATCTACCAATTAAATCTTTACATTTTATCTTGTTGTTTGTTTGCGATCATATAATTCATATCGTCTCATATATATTACCTCGATCCATTTTATTCCAACCAAGTGGTATCAAAGCTATTAGTTGTGATTTGTTTCAAGTTTCTATTATTGATGGTAGCTATGAAATATGAAATTCCGTTCTTGGATCGCAATAGAAGATTCTCATTGTAGCAAATGAATATATGAGTTGTACTCGAGTAGATGGATTCGGATGATGGATTGTTGAGATTTGAAAAAACGCTCGTAACTTTGATGACGGAGGAGAAACAATGGAAGGATTGGAAGACACTTTTACAAATCCATTTTCATCTCTTTAATAATACTCTTCGAGTCATTTTGAAGTAGAAAACGGCAATTGCGTTGTGATTGAAGTCGGAGCAATTGTACAACAACTAGAAGTATAAAAAGCAAATTGCATCTGAAGCAGAGGTTGTACTCTCATCGCATGACAAAAGGTGAATCTTTGGAAGATCATTTGGCTATGTTCAAGGAGATTATCACTAATTTGGAGACTTTAAAGGTAAAATATCATGAAAAAGATTTAATATTAATCGTTTTGCCTTCGCTGCCCGCTTCGTTTATTTGGTTCAGAGACACGAACTTGTATAGTTGTAATATTCTCACCATTAAAAATGCGTATTATTCCTTATCTTCAAAATAGAAGAAGCATTTTGTTGGATCTAAGCCCAGAGATGGAAAAGGTCTTGTTGTTCATGGTGATCGGAGAAGGGGTAAGTCAAGGTCAAATTTAAGTAATCAGATTTGTCATCATTGCAAGAAGAAAGGACACATCAAAAGGGATTGCGACAAATTGCAAAACAAATGTAATTTTATTGCTAATTATGGGAGGCAATCAAATATTTCAGACGAGACTAACATAGCTAAAAACTATTTGAGTAATGGAGATATTTTGACGATTTTTGACATGAAATCCAAACCTAACAATGAGTGGATTTGGATACAGCTTATGCGTTTCATATATGTCCCAATCGAAATTTGTTTCATATAAAACGGTGACATAAGGTGTTGTCATGTGTAACAAATAATTTCGTCGCATAGCTGGTATTATCAGAGTTAAAATGAAGCTAATGGATAGAACACTTAGAAACTCGATCATGTTTGACATATTCCATATTTGAATAAAATCTTATTTCGTTGAGTATTTTTTATTCAAAAGGGTCCACGTGCTCTGGTGGCGATGGAATTTTGAGGGTTAGAAAAGATGTTCACATGTATTGGAGGGGAGAAAGAGGCCTTAGTTATACATCTTGTAAGGTCATGCAGAATTTAAGAAAAAAGTCAACACACATGTAGTACCATGGTGGAGATTTGTTTTGGTATTGTACTTTTGAGATTTGGTCTGAGGTTCATATCGAAGAATATTATTCCGTCGAGTTTGGAGGATATGGATAATTATGTTTTGTCACCATTACCTATTGTTCCATCGTATTCAACTGCTAGGGATATACCCATTGGAGATATGTACGTGGATGTTGATTTGGTTGAATATGCTTTTAGCAATTTTGGAGGTGTTGACACTAGTCATGAACATGTCTATGAAAGCATTGAGCATTGATTCTGCTATATGTTCTGCTTCGACACTATTTGATACTTTCTAATTCTTTGTGAATTTTGGAGAACCCAGTGTTTGGATTCATGAATCCGTGTTGATACTGTGGAAGGAGAGTATTTTTGTGTTGGAGAAAGTTTGGTTTTTGTTAAAGAGTTTGGATTTTTTGTTGCAGGCGGATTGATTATCCCTGGTAGAGAAATTTTGGAGATCCGTTTGTTGCATCAAAATTTATGTCAAGATGGAGATTGTTGGGTTTTATTTACCCAAATTAGGTTGCATTTAAAAAAAAAAAAATCCTTCTGTCCACGTATTTTTATTGAAAAATAGTTTCTTTTATTGCACGTGATATTTGATCTTGTTTCCATCTTTATGGTATTTCAAGGGTTTGGTATGCATCCCTATAAATATTAGTCTCTTTCACAAATTTTGTATTACTGAAATATAGTATAATTGTGTATGTAACCAGATGAGCTTACCAGGAATTTGTTGGCTACTTTTTGAGGGCAACAATTATAAATTACTTATTAAAAAAAAAAAAGTCAAACTTTAATTTAATCACATCTTCATAATTATTATCCATTTATTATTCATACATTTCTAAAAACTCATTATCCTTCTGTCCACGTATTTTTATTGGAAAATAGTTTCTTTTATTGCACGTGATATTTGATCTTGTTTCCATCTTTATGGTATTTCAAGGGTTTGGTATGCATCCCTATAAATATTAGTCTCTTTCACAAATTTTGTATTGCTGAAATATAGTATAATTGTGTATGTAACCAGATGAGCTTACCAGGAATTTGTTGGCTACTTTTTGAGGACAACAATTATAAATTACTTATTAAAAAAAAAAAGTCAAACTTTAATTTAATCACATCTTCATAATTATTATCCATTTATTATTCATACATTTCTAAAAACTCATTAGTCCGCTCATTATAATCTCCTTATTAAGAAATATAATGATACCCGAACACACAAAAAATAAAATTTATAGGTATGCAGTTCATTGTATAAGCTTCATAGCCTATAAATAATTTTCTTTTATTAACAACTTCAGGGCCTGTTAAATTCTTTTCTTTTATGAATTAAATTCCAACAAAAATGTATTGTCTTGGCAGTAACGTGAATTAAGTGACCGATTGCTAAGTTGATCGCTTAGTGCACACCTTATTACCTAGGAATTTTATTTATAATTTTCTTCTTTTTTTAAAATTATTTTATTTGACTTTAATTTATTAACTTTTTATTTTTTTCCTTTTTATTAAAAGACTTTTATTTGACTTGAGTTTCAAAAGTTTTAACAACTTTATTTGTACAAAAGTCAAATTTGGCCTTATCCGATAAAGATTTAGATAAAATTTAAACTACAGTACTATCTATAATATGTAATTATGATCATAAGACTTATCATTTATTGAAAACTTCAAAAGTAAGGATGAGATCCCCATAAATTTGTTAAGTAGAATGTCTGATTGTAAGTTGAAATTATAAAAAATAATTGGAGTTTTACATTTCGAAACTTGAAAGTTGTATAATTAACGAAAGGTCCGTTTAATTGCGAAGATAGAATTTGGGTGAAAACAATAGGAATTGTAAATTATTGTGCTTGATTGGTATAATTTTTCGCGTGTAAAATGTTGAAATAAAGTGTTTTTTAGTATTAGTTTGGATTTGTTTAATATGAAAATTGTTAATTAAATGAATTAAATTTACTAGTATTGAGAATGAAATTTATTTCAAAAAAAAAAAATTAAAAAAATCATCTATCTTTTGATGTTTGTTTAACTTTGTTTTATATGGGAATCGTCAATTAAATGGAAAAATTCATTTTACAATAATTCTTAGAATCTATTTCCATTGTTAAAAAAAAAAAAAAAAAAATCCAGAAATTGGAATTCTCACCATACTTGAGAGAATTCCAATTCAAGGAAAAGCTGAAAATTGGACAAAAAATTTGGAAAAAATTATTATAAATAATATTTTACAATTTTAGATGCTTGGTGTGTATTAATTGTGAAAATGATCAAGTATTTAAAATAATAATAAAAATAAGTAACACTTTTTTACCCTTAAAAATCGCCTAGACTCGTAAAACTTAAAACTTGACTTCCATGTCCAACCACGCTTTACGCTATTTGAAACATTGATAATCTTTTGCACTTCTCAGCCTTTAGAGCCTAAATTTGTGACAAATCTAATTCATTTTTTGCAGAGTGACATTATGTTCCGTTAATCTCGATGAGAGTCTCGGGAAGTCACGTGGAAAGTTCCAATTTGTGAACAGCTTGTGTAAAATAGAATTCTGCCCCAAAAATTAAAAAATAAAACAGAGATATTTAGAATTTTCCATACCATTGATAATCTGACTATTGACAAAATTAATCAAACGTAAAACCAAATTCCAACATACAGTTCCTCGTCATGTAGAGACCATTTGATGCCCCCATTGATCCATCAGACACCACAAGTGTAGCCACTAGCAAATGACTTGAAGAAATCCATAAAACCCGTTAAACCCAGAAATGTAGAAACCTCTTGCTCTACCGTTGACTTATTTATGCAACAGATAGGAATCACGAAAGGGATAAAGCAGGAAATTCACAGCAAGCCATTGGCCAATCTGCCAAACCTTTGTGCAACCGAATTGTGATTGCTGATTTCATACAGCTCAATCAGTGAGCGAACCGTTCTCGATACAACATCCTTTTTAAGGTTTACAGATGCAACAGATGTAGTCTCTACAGCTGAAGAACCTGTCTCTTCAAGAGATGAGCATAACCCTTTAAGCCAATCCACGAGAAATGATGCTTTCTATAGCAAAGGAAAAGGAAGGAAGCTTGATATAAATACTATATTGAGGACAAAGACGGACAAATTTGATTAAGAGAAATACACATCATATCAATATAAACTGGGCAGTTCATTAAATTTAGTCTCAGAAGATATTCACAATAAAAAACATTTCTAATGATTGCCTTCGTCTGTTGATCTTACTTTGACAAGAAAATCTTGTACAGCTTGATGATCAGTTCTTGAAGCCAGGCCAAGCACGTGCAACATGGTTGAAGTCAACTGTTACAACTTAAAAGAAAATATCACTTAACATAATTGCAAATTTTTATATAAAATTCCTGACATCACAGATATATGTTCTTTTTTTTTTTTTCACATTTTCCAGTTAAGCTAGCATGGAGAAAAGATTTGGAAGATGATAAACCCTTTGTATTCTAAAAAGCATGCAGGTCAACAGCAAGTTAAGAATGACACGACAAGATTCAATATTTGAGAAATTCCTTCTTAGCACTGTCCTATAATTGGTTCCACACAATAATTATGCAATAAGAAAAGTTCACAAGATTCGTCGAATCACCTGCTTTTCAAGTGCAAGCAAATATTTGAAGTTAGATGGTGCTGAAATCTGGTCCCGACTAAAATTTTCTAGTATATGCTCCACACCTTGAAGGACATCATAATATGATCTACCATAATCTGATTACAATATATCAGAAAAACATAAATATAATTGAAAAAAACAAAGATCAGACTACTGTCGTTAAAGGGCAGAACAGGATAATGACATGTAGATACTGCAGCAAAAGAAATGCACAGAAGTACATCACCTCATGCAGCACAAATCAAACTGAAGCTGGGGGTATACAAGCTAAAAGCAACTAGAATGTTAGAAAAAATGTTTCCAGAAAACAAAGTTAAGAAACAAGGGACATTACTTTTCCATGGACTTATTAGAAGGCAGAAACCTAATTCAGAATCCAGAAGGTAAAGGGAAAAAAAAAGGAAAAAAACGAAGGGTCTCCACGAGAATAAAATTGAACTCATTTTGGTGGTGGATTTTATAAGTCAACCTCTAGAGGCAATAAGGAGGCGACGAATGAGAAGCAGTGCTAATCACTAATCAGGCCTGCTTTTATCCTCAAATTTAATTGTACCGAGAAACTAGTACCTTATCACTTCAGGTTTTATGCACAACAATAAAAGAAAATTGTTAAAATTTCATTGAATAAGCATGCTAATGATTCTACTAGAATGTTCTAACAAATGCTAAAAATTGTACAACAAAATTTAAAAGAAAATTTTAGCATTCTAGCCTCTTTACATCTTTTTTCGGTGTAGGAATCTTGTGTGAGATATAAGACTTCTAAGATAAGAAAGCAAATTTATCAATCATAGATATATATTTATAATTCATGAATATGTTGTTGGCTTTGAAAAAGGATGTGCAGGGTGAAGGCTGAGTTGTATATTGGAGATGGTGAGAAGCCTGGTGAAAGAGTGATAATGATGAAGACTGGAGTTGGTGTCTATGAGATGTGCTGAAGCATTATTAAGATCTATTAGTATTGATGTTTACGAGTTTTTAACTTCAGAACCCTCACAAAAAAAACCATCTTCCAAGCCTTTTTCATAGCTACCATTTCTTTTTGAAACACAATCAACTAATACAATAAGCAGGAAGTATTAGTCTCACTTTTCTCACCAGACTTTGCACCTGACATGTTACCCAGTATATTGGCTTCACATAAATCCTTTATATAACGTTGTCATGGCATATTTTTCTAAACCAGTTCAGGTGCAAGAAGCAATAGATCATATATCTATTGCATACCAAAATGATTATTTCGTTTAAGGAAAGAATAAATCAGGAATCACGTAACATTAGGCAAGAGTATAATTGTGGTTCATTATATTTGTTTAATTTTACAAAATTTCAATACTTGTACTCTTACCTTTTCTATATAATGAAAGTAGAGGAGAGGAAGACTATTATCTTCTTCTCTCCAATGTTTACCTACCATTGTCTCGACATGGCATCAGAGAAGGTTTCTAGGGCCTTGTAGTTTCTTCCAGCTCTTCTTTCCTGCTCATTTCATTTCTTTTCCTCTTCCCTCTTTTTTTCCTTTATTTTTATTTTATTTTATTTTTTATTTCGGCTCTTCTCAGTTATTTTCAGCAAAGATCAGTACTGGATAGTGAAGTAGGCTGCATCAGAAAAACCTGTACCAACGGCAAAACATGCACCTATGGTTTCTAGGGTTAATTACCTGGTTGGTCACTAAACTTGTTTTGGAACTCGTCCAATTGATACTCCCATGGATCCTAACGTAAAGCTTTTGAAAGATGAAGAAGAAACCATTTGGAGAACTAGGAAAGTATCGTCGTTCAGTTGGAAAATTGAATTATCTCACCATTAGGCAACCAAACATTTCCTAAGCAATAGTTGTGTCGGTTCTTGGATGCTCCTCAAGTTTCTCATTGGGAAGCTGTGATATGTATTATTCGATATTTGAAAAAAGCTCTCTTGACTAATTGTATAGAAAAAATGGAAATATCAAAGTAGAAGGGCTTATTAATGAAAATTGGGCAGGATCTCCATCAGATAGAAGATCCACTGTTGGTTTCTGTACTTCTCTCGATAGTAATCTAGTTACTTGCAGAAGTTAAGGACTAACTGTAGTAGCAATGTACAAGCACAATGAAGTTGATTGTCACTTTGATCGTGACAAAATAGTGAGTAGTGATATATGTACACCATTTGTGAAGATAGGAGATCAACTCGTTGATATATTTACAAAGTCATTGAATGGTAATCGATTAAGGTTTCTTTGTTTCAAATTGGACTTATATATTATATATGCTCCAACTTAAAGGGAGTTTTTTTTTTCTTTTTTTTTTTTTAATAAGTAATCATATAATTTTATTAATAAATGGGATAATACATGGGGGGTGTATTATCAAAATAAACAAGAAAGAAACGATATGAAGTTAGGTAGCCCTTCTATACGATTAGTGGCCGCAACATTAAACCAATTATACAAAATCATATAAAACAATTCGCTAATCTGCTCTATTGTTCTTGTTTTGTCTTCAAAACAGCGGCTGTTCCGTTCTCTCTGCACACCATACGATGCATTCCGAAATAAGACTCCACACAAGCCTCATATCCTTATCTCGAAATTTTCTCTTCCATGCCCACAACACGTCCTCTATGTGCCTAGGCATCGCCTAATCCAAGTGTTGGTAAGCTAAAATACCGTTCCACAACCACCAAATACCATCACAATGGATAAACAAATGGTCAATTGTTTCCCCATCTCTTTTACACATATAACACCACTCGATAATACAAAAACCTTTTCATCGAAGATTGTCCGCCGCTAACGCTTGCCCCCTCACAACCGTCCATAATAAAAAAGCCACCTATAGAGGCAACTTACATTGCCATACCATCTTCTAGGGAAAGGAACTCTCCATCGGGCCGAATATGGATCTAAAATAAGTGCGAACTGAAATTATACCATCCCGTGCCAACCTCAACCTGCTATGATCACCTTGTCCTACCTGAATATGCGACTCGTGCAAGGAAATCAAAAATAGTGCATAATCATCCAATTCCCAATCCTGTAGTCCCCTCTCAAAAGCAATATTTCAGCTATAACTACCATTATGTATGTTAATTACATCATTCACCATAGTGAATGGTTCCAAGGCAATGTGGTGCAAAGAAGGAAATCGTGCCTTAAGTGGAAGATCTCCAAACCAGCAATCATCGCAAAATTTGATATTGTTGTCATTCCCCACCACAAAGTCAATTTATCTCGAAATTCATTCCATCCTCGTCGGATATATTTCCACAGACTCACCCCATAAGATCCATGACCCTCGATCGAGCACCAACCCCCTTCCATCACTCCATTTCTCTCCAAAAACTCTCCCTCTCCACTCCAAAACGCCACAACCACTTGCCTAATAAAGCCTTGCTAAACAGAACAAGGCTCCTCAATCCAAGACCCCCCCCCCCAAACCCTTAAAAAAAAAAAAAAAAAACC